AATTATTATTATCCACACAGAAACGTCCAACCCACAGCAAACACCTTCACCTCCACCTGACCCCCTGTTTAAGGCCAGCTGAGCTCCAGGTGGACTCACCCTCTGGTCCTGGACTATGATCACGGCCTGTCCGGGCTGGTGAGAGGGGCACACCACACCTACAGCCCCTCCCCTCCTCCGTGCTTAGGTCTGAGGAAATGAACCGATGTTTTTCAGCTGTCCTGTCACCTGGTGAAACACCTGGAACCCCCAACCGCCTAACCAGGCCCCCCTGCTTATGCATCTCCAGGAAGGAGCTGGAAACCCCTTGAGACTCACTTGTTTTCTACTTTCTGGTGCCAGAGAGACAAAGCACGGGATCTGTCGCGTTTACTTAGTTTAATCGAAAGTGAAAGTAGCGCTTTGAGGTCAGTCATAGACACAAAACATGTGCAGATTAGCATTACTGACCCGCAAAACTGAATAAAAGATGTGCAGGTATGATGTGCAGCCACTGCAAAGCAAAAACTTCATTTTTTAAACCCCTCTAAACTTTTTTTTACGAACACTGCTCCTGCTGATTCTTGAGATTACTCCATCATAGTTTCATCAAAGATACCAGAAACAGACAGACACCGAGGATCTGACGACCCACAACTTACTGTTACTTCTCACTTCTCTGTCTTCATGACACCGGCTTTGTTTACTCCACAGCCCCGTGGAAGTCAGGACGAAATCGAAACTCACACGTCACGTCCGTCACACACTTTTTACACAGAAAACCATGCAAAACATATAATTTATTACCACCAATAATTAAATTATAGCTTAAAAATAAACCAGTTTTAAATGGAAATCTCTTGGGATACATTAAAATAGGTTTATTTACACTTTAAAAAGGTGTTGGTTCATTTCCGCCTCGTTCACAGACTAAAAATGTCTCACTGCTGTGTAAAGGCCGTTAAAAGCCATTAAACTTGTCATATCAATTTATTAGTGTTAAATAAACAGAGAAACCCAATTAGATCACGGTCACGCTTTAAAGTCAAACAGGTCTTTAACCTTTAGTGCCGACATGTAGTGCAATGGCGCCCTCACGTGGATGTAATGCAGAATTAAACATTTAGGCAGAATTAGTTGTTTTGGGACAAACCTCCACAGCTGCTAATCCCCCTACACAAAGCATCTACACAAAACATTTTGCAGAGGGCAT